ATTCTATGTACCAACTCTACGCTACTTCACCCTTCCTACTACCAACTATGCCCTGCTTCACCCCTCCCATATGCCATTTTCAAATCTAGATCCCACAAAATTTGAAACAAAAAAGAAAAAAATTTGGTGGTCTTTCCATTTTCATAACCAAATCTAGCCCCCAAAATTCGAAACAAAAAAAAAATTACAAAATCGCTGTGCATATGAAACGCACAGTAGTCATCCAATCACACATGCACAACAGTCGTTCTAATCACACATGTAGCCAATCCAGACTCCCTAATCGCAGACCTTCCCCATTGTTGCCGGAGAAGCCGACCTATGAATACCCAGATGACCCATACTTTGATTCAGGTTCTAATTCGCCAATTGGGTCCTAGAACAATTAAGAAGAAAAACAAGGAGATGAACGAAGAAAAATAGGAAGAAAATGAGGGAGATGAAGAGGGAGAGGGACGAAGAAAAAGAGGGTGAGGGAAAAAAAGAGGGAGAGGGGTAAAAAAGTGGGAGATGAACAAAGAAAATAGGAAGAAATTCTAGAATGGAAATAGATAGAAGTATAATAAAATATTAATAAATATGAATTTGTTGCAGTCCTATTAGATTAGGAATGTGATTGTGTAAATCCTAGTATATCTAGGGATATCTCTTATATTCCTATTAGAAGTTGATTACCTATTAAGAGTTGTAATCCTAAAGGAAAAGGAATTAACCTTCTCTACTACCATAAATAAAGGCACAATAGGGTGAAATATAACACACCTCACAATTACACATCTCTATCTTTCTCTCTACTCTTGCCGCACCCCTCTCTCTAAGGCATTCATAATTATTTAGTAAATTATGCCTACAACACGTTATCAACACGCTCTTGATGTTGCGCTAACAAGAGAATTTGTTCTTCAATCAGGAGAGTATTATGTTTTAATCAATTTTTATGATTAATTTATTATTTTATTGAATTGATATACATGTTATTGATTCAATTTAATTTTTTCTGTGTTGAACGTGATACAACGCACTGGAGATGCAATTCCAGCTTTTCGAGAAAGATCTTCTACAAATTAAAAGGCTTTTGTTGTTTTATGTCAATCAGGTAAGCTTAAAATAAAGTAAGATATTTGAAACGACCATAAAACGTGAAAACATTCCCATGATGCATGAACCCCCTTATGTTTGTATTTATTATGGGATTTTTTTTACTAAGGCCACGACCTGTAAGGGTCCTTGACTGTTGCTGGACCCGCATGCATGGGTTCCACATATTGGGCATGTAGCCTCAATCCACCTTGCTAAGCTTCTTGGCCCAATACTCGAAGGCAGCATTGCTAGGCTTCATCCACATCGAGCTGCACCAAGCCAGCAACTTGTGCCAGCGTCATAGACTGGGTTTGTGAAAAGTTGTTGGGCCTGTAACCCTTCAAGCAACATACCAGCAAGTGCTGGGCTCTTCCCATCCCCGTGGCCCTATCTACAGCAAGCCTACAGCTTGCACTGCAACAAACTGGGCTGCTTTGCAGCCTTTTCCTTGAGGCTCAATAAGCCTGCAACCTTGTCCCATGTACTACAGCCAGCCTAAGTATGTTGGGTTGTGTCCTTTTTTCGACCCAATGCTAATTTTTTTGGCATTCTAAATAAATTTTGCTTCTACAATCGACCCCGAATGGTCCCGATCTATTGAATTAATTAAAAGTGATCAGAAGTCCATTAATCTGATAATTAATCCAAAATTATTGATCTGAAGATCACTTTTGGGCATTAACGATTCAATAATTTATTTTTATACTTTGAACCCTTGACTTAGAACCCTAAAGGCATGCAAGCCCACAAACCCATGACTCCAATTTTGTTTCACAACCCCACGACACTCCTCTACTATGTTACATCGTGGATCATAGATAAACCGTCACTTCCTAATCAACGTCGAAAGTTTCGTAGCCAAAATAAGCATGGCATGATCAGACCCTCTAAGACTTCATGCATAATTTTTGCCTCGGGATACACATCAACCCAACCATTTGTCGCCAACCCACGGTTTAAGCGTTGTTGTATAGGGCCTTCATAGCTACGATTCCTCCAAGTAAATGGGTACCGCGTAAAGCCCAAGTCAAGGAGCATGTTACTTACAATAAAGTCACATAAATTCCTCCTACTTGCCACAAACTTGTAATTTCCCCGTTCCTTCTCCGAATCATCAATGATATCATTGAAATCCCCAATAAGCAAACATTTGTCCCTTGCAGCCTCAATTCAATTAAATAGCATTCGCCATTGGTCTTTCCTCTTATTATCATCCGTACTCGCGTAAATCGCGAACAACCTCCAATGCTCATTTATTTCCCCATCACATATGCCAACCTCAATGAAAAACTTAGCATATTTAACCAATAAAACATGATCATAGTTCTTCCAAAAAAATGCAATTCCCCTTGGTTCAACAGCATGCATAAAATCCATCCCAAGCATTCTCTTCAAATAAACATAGCGATTAGTTCTATTTTTAGTCTTTAATAGAATCACTATGTCGGGGGTATGAAGCCTATTCTGCTCCAACAGGTCGTCAACTGTCAGGTTACCCCCGATACCCTGACAGTTCCAATATATTAGCTTCATAGGGACTTGGGAGACCCTTTAAAGCTGGTTTCCTCCGCCTCAAACAACAATGATTGTTTTAGTCGGTTCCTTTGAAGTCATAACACTCAACATGTTCCACATATTCCACCTCATGAATAGGCCTTTTCCTTCCTTTTTGGTTCTTTATCACTGCCTCAATAATACGAACCAGATCAAAAAGATCATCCTTCAAAATCTCAGAACCACTTGTCACTCTTACACGCTTGGCATGCACTACCGAGTCCATTCCCGTGCCTTCAAAGTCACATTTCCCACCCTCCCCAGTTTGTGTCGCAATATCTAAGTCACTCTCCTTCTCGTTTTCCTACGATACACATACAAAGTTAATCCGTGCATCTTCCTCCAACATTTTGTGAATGACCACATCCACTACTTCATCCGCAATCACACCCCCCAGACCGATTAATCTTGCATCATAAGCCTTCTCTCGAGCTCTCATTGCTTCCTCCTCATCCACTCGTTGACGACGAATTTGTGTAGCAAGGTTAATACCCTTTGGCGCATGATGATGCACATCACCTCCAGCTTTGCTCAAGGATCGCCCCGTGTCAACCACTCCATCATCCATCCGCCTACTACTCGCAACTCCAGGTTGGACCCCACTTGTAACATCCCACATCGCCCAAAAGAGTGATCCTTAAATGTATATTCTCATCCCTACCTAGCACGAGGCCTTTTGGGAGCTCATTGGCTTCGGGTTCCATCGGAACTCCGAAGTTAAGCGAGTAACGCGCAAGAGCAATCCCATGATGGGTGACCCACTGGGAAGTTCTCGTGTGAGTTCCCAGAAACAAAACCGTGAGGGCATAATCGGGGCCCAAAGCGAAAAATATCGTGCTATAGTGGTGGAGCGGGTCCGGGAAGTAATCCGTCCTGGGCGGGGATGTGACAAATTGGTATCAGAGCCTAACCCTGGCCGTGGTGTGCCGACGAGGTCGTCGGGCCCCCTTAAGGGGGGTGGATTGTAACATCCCACATCGGCCAGGGGAGTGATCCTTAAATGTATATTCTCATCCCTACCTAGCACGAGGCTTTTTGGGAACTCACTGGCTTCGGGTTCCATCGGAACTCCGAAGTTAAGCGAGTAGCGCGCGAGAGCAATCCCATAATGGGTGATCCACTGGGAAGTTCTCGTGTGAGTTCCCAGAAACAAAACCGCGAGGGCGTAGTCGGGGCCCAAAGCGGACAATATCGTGCTACAGTGGTGGAGCGAGCCCGGGAAGTGATCCGCCTTGGGTCGGGATGTGACACCACTGTCCCCAGAAGCAGCTGGAGTCCCTGATATTGTGGAAGATCCGCCATTCCTTTTCGATCCACCCCAATGAGTACTTCGTACTATCCTCTTTCGTCCCGAACTAACTAACCCCCCATTTGAAACACTTGATCCACCACCTCGAAGACTGGATCTTAATGAGTTACCATGAAGGTCTACCTCTGCATCCAAGCCATGATATGCGAAAGTCTCCTCCAGAACCACCGAATCCATCCCAGCCTCTCTATCATTATCCAGATTATCCCGACAAGCTCTCGTTGCATGCCCCATAAGGCCACAAATTAGGCAATACCGCGATAGTGGTTCATACTTAAAATCCACCCAAATACTTCCATCATCTGAAAATGCACAAACATCCCACGCATGAGAGGTTCACGTACATTAAATCAAATTTTCACATGAAGGAATTGACTAATGCAATCACGACTGACTGACGTATCCACCTTACAGACAATACCCACCTTCCGTTGCCGTCACAGTCATACTCAACGGGGGAACATTATGAATTTGCACCCAAAAGACCCCAAGAGAACGCAGTCCAACGATTAAGACCATTCCTCGTTCTATCAGCCACCATCACTAGGTCATTCTTAAAGGTCGAGCCGCATCATGAATCATAAAAAATCTACGAGGATACTCTTCTATGAAGGCTTCAACCAATCAGAACCTTTAAAATTCTGATTGCGATCACAAATTTTTGCCAATTTTACGAAAGAAATCCGTTCCTCACACTTGACTAAACCTCTAATTCTAAACGTAATCCTGAATTACCCCAGTTCTAGAATTCAATTAATAAACGAATTTAAAATCCCAAAATCAAAAGAATCTTTCATTTTTGAATACACCCCCTTATATGAAATCTCAAAAGATTAATTGAACTCCCAAGAAATCCATGAATTTATAAATCCATAAAATTCTCTTAAACTCTGAATTAAATACATCTTCCATAAACAAAGACCTCATAGTGCTCAAAAGAGGAATAATGTAGTTTAAATTCATTTTTGATGAAAATTAAACTTAAAACCTCTCGTATATAAACGAATAGAAAATTATTAAACCGTAGTAATACTAATAAGTGACAACTCCTAATATACTCTGATTGTTGAAAAAAAAAAAAACAGGGAAGTAATAGCCGGTAGGGTTTTGGGGATTTCCCAATTGAATTTGATCGTCATCGGCTCAGTTGCTTACACTCTACTAACACGCTAGTATGCTGCGAACACTCAGATTATGCTATTCGCAATCTTCCAGCATAGTTGCTGCTTCCAGAATCACATTCTTTGTTCAAAATCCGATACTCCGCAAACACTTGAGCTTGGAAATCTCAGAAATCCAACCCAATTTCACAATCAATTACCTCGTAAACTCATGTGGGTTGTCCCCAAAAGGTGCGATTTCAGCATCCAAGTGGTTCGAGTTGCAATCCCGAGAAAGAGCAGACTCCGTCTTGTCCTTCCTCAGAACCCATGGATTCTCCGAAATCCAGATCTCGAAGATCCTCAGGTCATGCACACAACTTCTCAACTCCAATCCGGAGAAAACCCTTTTGCCAAAGCTTGAGTTTTTCAGGTCGAATGGAGTTTCAAGGGAGGGCCTTGGAAAACTTCTGGCAAATTATCCGCGGATTTTGAGTGTGAGCTTGGAGAAACAGATTGTACCCACTTATAACTTCCTTAGGAGTATGATTTCTGAGAAAAATGCCGTTTCGGTTTTGAGCCGGGGCTCATGGTTTATCTATTCGAAGAATTTGGTGCCAAATCTTGAGTTGTTGAGAGAATCAGCTATGCCCCCATCCTGCATTTCTCTGTTGCTTGCTCGTCAACCCACTGCTTTTGCGCTGAAGCCTAAACTGCTTGGTGAGGTTGTGGATAGGGTTGTGCAAATGGGTTTTAATATGCAAACATCAACTTCTGTGCATGCAATGTGTGTATTATTATTGCGCTTTAACGATAGTAACTCGGTATGGAATCGAAGTTGCGAAGTTTATAAGAGGTGGGGTTGGTCCGAGGATGATGTTCTCTCTGCTTTCAGACGGTACCCCTACTGTATGAATAAGTCGGAGACAAAAATAGCGTCAGTAATGGATTTTTTAGTGAACAAGATGGGATGGCCGCAGAGATCAATTGTCAAATACCCGACTGTCATGGGTCTCAGTATGGAGAGTAGAATTATACCAAGGTGTTCGGTCGTGAAAGTTTTGGTGTTGAAAGGATTGATAAAGGAAATTGAAAATGTGAGTTTGAGTTCGTTGTTGGCACCTGCGGAGAAGTGCTTCTTGGATAAGTTTGTGTTCAGATATATAGATGAAGCACCTCAATTGTTAAGCGTGTATGAAGGAAAAGTGGAAATCCAGGATGTATGATGTTGGTAGGAGATGCAGTACTGGTCATTGTCATTGGTAGCAGCTAGCTTTTGGCCCAGTGTTGTAAGTTCGTTCGTTAACTACTGTTTTACTTATGCCAACACACTCTTCATATTTCTGTAGAAATAAATTCAGATGTTAGTCTTGGCCAAAGAAAAACGAGTACTTGTTTGTTTTGTGTTTGCATTCTGCTGCATAGCTGCTTTAGCTGTTTAGCTCTGCTAACCTAGTAATTTTCTTCCACGAACAGCTAGCCAGCCTTGGTTTCAGCGGCAATGGCTGCGTAAACTATCACTATCATTGTCTTTGTGTTAGCCTTGTTAGCGTTCAGTTTATGTAATGCTTGCTTATTGAAAAACGAAAATGAAGCTTTGACAAGATGTGTTATACTGATTCGTTAGAGTTGTAATGCAGAGTGGAGGAGTTTGGATTTGGGATAATGATTCAAATTATGAATAAGACTACAAATAATGTCGTGGAAAATGACCTCAAGCCACAATACTTGTGAACGGCTTCACTAGTTGACTTTGAAGTGTTTCCCCATCTGTCTGGTGCTGTCACAATCTACGTATAGGCTGGCCAAGGTGCTGCAGGAAAGTGAACGAGGAAGAGAGCAAGAAATTTTGCCTTACAAACACCATTAGAACCAAGTGGAAGAAAGTAGATGGTGGGCAGTTCCGTTAAAAGTTCATGCTTATTTTCTGGATTACTGGTTGAATAGGACTTGTAAAGCTAGAGATAGTTCATCAAACTAAACATTGAGTCGTCTATAGTTTAGTTTGAATTGCGAAATTGTGTTTCCATCCCTGAATTAAAATTGCTGGAGGAAGGAAAAACAGGTTTTGGGCCACACTGTTTTGACAACTTGTGTTAAATTTGATGCATATTCAAATTATATATTTCCTTGGAATTCCATAGGAAGATAAGGACTGCTATGCAAGAGTAGTTTAGTTTAGCAGAGAAATGAAGTAGCCTCAGGCATGCCGCTTGTATGACCCGGAGTCCAGACTCCAAGTGCATTGCTTCTTATAACCATTTTGACTTCTAAATCTGTTGTTTTTTGTGATCGCGTAATTTAATTGATCAACCAAAAATTCAAGAATGTACTTTTCACTCATTTTAACAGATTACAAGATTTGAATCCTTTTGGATTTGCTTATTTGAATTGGTTGTTGTACACAAGTTGTAAAATATTGAACCCAAAATAATTGATAACCAAATTAATGGGTAGTTTGGTAAAAGAAAAAATGAAGAGCAAATTGAAGAAAATGATTGGGAAAACAAATGATTTGCCCGATCATTTGTCGCGAATAGACTTAAATACCCTCACAACAAAATAGAGTGCAAATGTATATTCAAACGCCGAAGTTACGAGGATTCAAATTTACATTTCTTTCCTTCATCATTTGTTTTCCCCATCATTTTTCTTCAATTTGCTCTTCATTTTTTCTTGTACCAAACTACCCATTAATTTGGTTATCAATTAATGGGTAGATTGAATCAAGACTGAATGAGACAAAAAGGAAATGCACTTGCTACGTAAATTTAACGGAATGGACGAAAATGGTGTGAATCAAGACTGAACGAGACGGAAATGGCAGTTTTATAGAGAAAATAAGACTAAATGACAGTTTCAAGGGCAAATCAATTAACAAGTCCCTTCCTTTAGAGTCATCTGGTGTTGTACCTGCATATTACATCGTTGGCCTCCATAACTGTGATAGTTGTGGAGATCATAGTGAGATAGAGATAGTATATGTATATCTCTCTTTCTGCGGAATCCAGGGCACTGCATCCTGTCCACGGCCGGCGTTTTGTGTCTAAGCTAGCAAGATCAACATTTCCAACAATTTGAGACTACTGTGATTCCAGAAGGCAGCCTAATTCCAAATATCAGAATCAGTTTAGACCATCAAGCTTGGAATATACAATTTTAGGCTGGTCCTGATGCATACGAGGACCTGAACTAATTCAATACTATCTGGTTGAAAGGGGAAACTAGTAGTATGTATTTTATATCAAAATAAATTTTGAAGACTAACAAAATTTAAGACACAACGACGCTTCTCGGAGTGCAGGTCAACCTGAAGCTGGTTTTCAGATAAGAAAGTGTATATAACTAAAGCAACTAGTCAGTGGTGTAGAAGACGAACAAATCCATTTTTTTCTTGGCCATGACTCTTCCAGAGAAATATTAATCAATACCATATTAAATGGTAGTAACTCACTGAGAAATTCTTGTTCAGCATCTGGTTTTTCTTTAAAATAAAAAAAAATAAAAAAAAAGTCGTACCCAGTGCACAAGGCTCCCGCTTTACGCAGGGTCTGGGTAACAACTCTAATGAAACTGCATTACAACTCGGGAGCAGTCTCTCCATAAAATGGGGGTAAGGCTAGCCGACATTCACCTCTCCCAGACCCTGCGTAAAGCGGGAGCCTTGTGCACTGGGTACGACCTCCATTACATATATTGCACCCTCGAATTGCCCCTAAACAGAGGCTAGCCACCAGTCTGTGGAGGAAATAAATTGCACCTTCAAATCTCAAGTTGATTTCAAATAATAAAGTAGGGTATATAACTAAAGTAGCTAGACAGCGGAACGTTAAGACAAAAAAATAATTAAGACCTGAATTCATTTTCTAGTAGTTAAGAACACAAACTTACAATGCTGAGCCAAAAGTTAGCTGCTACCATTGGAAATGAACAGCACTGCATCTACGATACTACAACAAGGCGTCTCAAATTATAACGAATATCTAACCTCGTTTGACGTACATACCTCATACATCCTGGACTTCAACTCTTCCTTGATACACACTCAATAACTGAGGTACTTCATCTGTATATCTGGCCACAAACCTCTCCAAGAAGCACTTCTCCGGAGGCACCAACACAGAACCCAAACTCACATTTTCAATCCCGTTTATCAATCCTTTCAGCAACAAAACTTTAACAACCGAACACCACCTCTTATAAAATTCGCAACTTCGATTCCATGTAGACCTATTGGCAGCACACAATGCGTTTATTGCCATCACAGAAGTTGATTTTTGCAGGTTAAAACCCATTTGCTTAACCTCATCCACAAGTTGACCAAAATCTTTAGGCTTTAGTATTAAAGCTCTGGGATGACAAGTAAGCATCATAGAAATGCAGTGCTGGGGCATCCCTGATTCTCTCAAAACCTTAATATTTGGCGCAACCTTCTTGGAGTGGCCTTCCACGAGAATCCACGAGCCATGCCTGAAAACCGAAACGACCTTTTTCTGAGAAAGCATACTCCTAAGGAAATCATAAGTGGGTATAATCCGTTTCTCCAAGCTCATGGCCAAAAGCTTCGGTTCATATTGCAGTGTTGTTGCAAGGTCCTTCTTTGAAACTCCGAACGAAGCGAAAAACTCAAGCTTTGGCAGAAGGGTTTTCTCCGGATGCAATTGGAGAAGATGTGGGCATGACCTGACCATCTTCGACATCTGGGTCTCAGAGAATCCATAGTTTCTGAGAAAGGACAGAACGGAGTCTGCTGTTTTGGGGGATCGCAACTCAACCCACTTGGATGTTGAAATCGCACCTTCTGGGGACAGCCCGCATGAGTTTATGAGGTAATTGACAGTGAAATCGTGGTGGGTTTCTGAGATTTCTGAGTTGAAATGTCTGCAGAGCAGCAGATTCTGAAGAGGAAAATGTGAGGGTTTCACATCTCCAACGACAGATAGTTTTAATATGGAAGAAGAAGATTGCGGGTAACCCAATCTGAGGAGGGTGAGTGCCTTCAATTTGTAGAGCACCACCATGTTAATAGATGACCAATTTCAAATTTTGCAACTCGGATGGTGGTTTCTGGTTTTGATCAGGAGAAGATTGGCTTTTGGCTCCTTATTTTACGTTTTGCTTCAATACTGCCTGGTATTGGAAGCTGCGCAATTTAGAGGCTCCTGAGCCTTTGGATTGTTATTAAAATCCAATCCACGGCTGTCCAATTTTTTCCCCAACACTTTTCATAGCAAACCAAACTGTCGTGTAAAATTCCTAAACAAAACCCATGAATTTGTAATGTCTTAGATTAGTATATATTATCGATTGTAATTATTTTAGTTTAAGTTTATATCTTATATTCTCGATCACAAAAATAAAAAACGTTTCAGAGACATTTACTCAAGTAAGTTCGTCATGCATATGCATAATGCATTCATGTAGATAAGTCTTACTTGGTATTTCACTTGATTTAATTTTGGGCTTAACGTTAAATGGTTGTATTAATTTCGAAGCAGCCCAATTTATCTTTTAGTTACCGTGTTGTCTAGGATGTTAGTTAACACCTAACCTGATAATTTAGCATGTTTATCAAGCTAATCGACATTATATTACCACTTAGTACTATGATCTAGTGGTATTTCTCTTCACTTATAAGTGAGAGAGATCTTAGATTCGATTCTCGCCAAATGAGAGCTTGAACCACATTATTGCTAACCCATTGTGAGGTTAAGCCCACCCATTCTCCCTTATCGTTTGTTAAAAAAATTAAAATTTGACATCATATTTTTGAAAGAAAAATTATTATTTTTTAAATTTATTGAACTACCGTGCATGATGCTTATGAACTCTATTTGTTAAAATTATTCAAGAGAATGATGGATACACATATTTTTTAATCCCTTACATATTTTATTTGTTGATTTTATTTTATTTATACAATTTCATAATAAAGAATAAAAGAAAAATGTGTGAAAAAGTAATAAACAATGTGGTTATAAAAAATAAATAAATAAATAAATAAAAATAAAAAAATGAGGGAGTGTAATAAGATAAAACCCATGTGTGAATATCAGCTTTCGTTTATAAAATTGTATCAATTAAAATATCTCTCCAATAAAGAAAATCTATATATTACCTTACTAATTTTTTTTTTTCCTTCAGAAGAACTCGACCAACCCCTTCCTAAAAGCACACCCAAAGAAATTTTAATATATTTAAATTTGTACGTTTTTCTTTTAGCCACTTAATATTAGGATTTATTAGTATTCTTTTTCACTTGTAAGTGAGAGGTTTTAGATTCGATTCTCGCCAAAGACGAATTTGAACCACATTATTGTTAGCCCATTGTAAGGCTAAGCGTACCCCTCCTCCTTAGTGTAAATAATATCGTTTGTTCAAAATTTATTTTTTTAATTTTAATCACCTTTTTTTTTCCTGAGCTTTAACAAGAAATCAATTATGAGAATGTACCTTGCGATATTCGTAACTGATTGTTTTTCAAAAATAACACCATTTATTCATTCTACATGATCGAATTAGTATCTTGCAAAGTTTGAGAAGAAGGTGCTTGACGGCCGCATTAGTGTCGTGTCACTTCCACTCAAAGGCTAAAGAGAGATCAAGTAGCAAAGTGCGAAGACAAAACTGCCTACTAGTATATATGTGTGTCTAGTTGATGAGCTTTATATTTATGTACTCATTTCTCTTAATGTTTGTGCTAAATTGGGAGCCCAAGGATTTTTCCAGTGGTGGATTTTGCCTTATTAAATCCTACATCCTATGTGCACATTTTATTTATCTTTTTTTATTGCATATGTTTAGGATAATTTGATATGTATTGTGAATGTTGAATTAATTTGAAATTTCAATTAGATTTTTAAGTTGGAACCTATTCACCCCCCCTCAAGTTAAACTAGTATCCATCCTAGGAATTTCACAAACAAATCTCCAAATTTCATTGCTTTCCAGGCTTATTCCTAGATATGGCATTTTCGTCTTAGACTCAGTTCGCACCATTTTCTTCCGTTCCGTCAAATAGTCCTTTTAAGTAAAGGGTAGCAGAGATATTTCATTTTTGACATAACTCTTTGCGGGTATTTATCATTAATAGCCAAAATTTGGCTCTTAATTTCAAAACTGCCAGTTTTTTTACAAAATTCAAAAATAGCAGAAAGTTAACTTGAAGTTTTGAACAATCACAAACATCCTTATTATTTAACATAAAAGGTATTTGTCGATTTACTCCTTAAACTTGTATAAAGGAGTCAATTTCCTCTTGAACTTTAATTTTATCCGATTAATTAGTCAATTTATCCCCTGAACTTTAACTTTAGCCGACTACCTCCCTAAAATTTTATAAATAGCCAATTTTCCCCTGAACTTTAACTTTAGCCGATTACCCCCCTCCTCAAATTTTATAAATAGCCAATTCCCCCCTAGCATTAAATTTTAAAATTTTCAAATCAATTTTCATCCATCCAATTTTTCTTTCTTTTTGCCCTCATACAGTTGTCATGTGTTGTCCGTGTGATCAAAATGAATAAAAAATTGGATTTTTTTTTTAAATCTAATGTCAGGGAGAAATTGGCTATTTATAAAAGTTCAAGGAGTAATCAGCTAAAATTTAAGTTGAAGGAGAAAATTGGCTAATTGTAAAAGTTCATAGGATAATCGGCTGAAATTAATATTCAGGGAGAAAATTGATAGCTCCATACAAGTTTATAAGAGGTGGGGTTGGTCTGAGGATGATGTTCTCTCTGCTCTCAGACGGTACCCCTACTGTATGAATAAGTCGGAGACAAAAATAGCGTCAGTAATGGATTTTTTAGTGAACAAGATGGGATGGCCGCAGAGATCAATTGTCAAACACCCGACTGTCATGGGTCTCAGTATGGAGAGTAGAATTATACCAAGGTGTTCGGTCGTGAAAGTTTTGGAGTTGAAAGGATTGATAAAGGAAATTGAAAATGTGAGTTTGAGTTCGTTGTTGGCACCTGTGGAGAAATGCTTCTTGGATAAGTTTGTGTTCAGATATATAGATGAAGTACCTCAATTGTTAAGCGTGTATGAAGGAAAAGTGGAAATCCAGGATGTATGATGTTGGTAGGTGTTGTAAGCTGAAATAGAAAGGAACGAAGTTACCCGAAAAAATGTAAAAGCCTTGAGTGGTGAATGATTTTGGGATGAGTCGCGGACTAAGTCGCTCTCTTTAAGACGTTTCGCGGCTCTGCCCAAAGTGTGCAAGCAGTTCACAAACACCACGTCGTCCCCAGGATAAAACAACCCAGAACCTTCTTCTTCTGATAAAGTTCTTCCTTGCACAATGGAAGAACCTTCGAACTCACACCCTCTCAATATGTTGCTTTTCAAAACTATATATATCAGAAAATATATGTATATATATATTTTTTTCTTTTTTTCATTGTACCCAAGGACTGCTATATATACTAGAGAGAAAAAGACGTTGAGAATTTGAGAGATTAACGAGGGCTTGAAAGTAGGACAAAACGGAAAAACCACAACATAAAGTAATCGCATAGAAAAAGGGCAAAACGGTTTGAATATATATAAAGTTCTGATGATTTTCTATGTATATGGGCTGTTTTACATGTTATATAAATATTAGTCAAAACGTTTGAATATTTATTAGCATAAATATTTAGTCAAAACGTAAAGCAAAATCAAAGTGAAAAGCACGAAACAGTTTGAATATGCTTAATAACATGATCATCTTCTCTATATAGAAAAGGAATCCCACGTTTTATATTTAAGAGGAGATAACTCCTTATCTAATTGATAAGGCCAAAATAAATTAGCTGTTATGTATATAATATTGGTAATTAAGCAAAACATAAATATATTTAAATATTTAAATAAAAACATATTTGTTCCAACAGTAGGAGATGCAGTACTGGTCATTGTCATTGGTAGCAGCTAGCTTTTGGCCCAGTGTTGTAAGTTCGTTCGTTAACTACTGTTTTACTTATGCCAACACTCTTCATATTTCTGTAGAAATAAATTCAGCTGTTAGTCTTGGCCAAAGAAAAACGAATACTTGTTTGTTTTGTGTTTGCATTCTGCGGCATAGCTGCTTTAGCTGTTTAGCTCTGCTAACCTAGTAATTTTCTTCCACAAACAGCTAGCCAGCCTTGGTTTCAGCGGCAATGGCTGCATAAACTATCACTATCATTGTCTTTGTGTTAGCCTTGTTAGCGTTCAGTTTATGTAATGCTTACTTATTGAAAAACGAAAATGAAGCTTTGACAAGATGTGTTATACTGATTTGTTAGAGTTGTAATGCAGAGTGGAGGAGTTTGGATTTGAGATAATGATTCAAATTATGAATAAGACTACAAATAATATCTTGGAAAATGACCTCAAGCCACAATACTTGTGATTGGCTTCACTAGTTGACTTTGAAGTGTTTCTGGTGCCATCACAATCTACATATAGGCTGGCCAAGGTGCTGCAGGAAAGTGAACAAGGAAGAGAGCAAGAAATTTTGCCTTACAAACACCACTAGAAGTTAGAACCAAGTGGAAGAAAGTAGATGGCGGGCAGGTCCGTTAAAAGTTCATGTTTATTTTCTGGATTACTGGTTGGAATAGGACTTCTAAAGCTAGAGATAGTTCATCAAACTAAACATTGAGTCGTCCATAGTTTGAATGGCGAAATTGTGTTTCCATGCCTGAATTAAAGTTACTGGAGGAAGGAAAAAGTGGTTTTGGGCCACACTGTTTAGTTGTGTTAAATTTGATGCATATTCGAATTATATATTTCCTTGGAATTCCATAGGAAGATAAGGACTGCAATGCAAAAGTAGTTTAGATTAGCAGAGAAATGAAGTAGCCTCAGGCGTGCCGCTTGTATGACCCGGAGTCCAGACTCCAAGTGCATTGCTCCTTATAACCATTTTGACTTCTAAATCTATTGTTTTCTTTTTTATTGTGAACATGTCTTCGATTATTACCAGTTCTTTCATCTAGCTGCGGATTACGTTGATAAGGATGTGTTAGTTTTGAATCCGATATATAATAGCTTAGAGCAGCCAGTGATCCGAGAGCATTTTCCAAAGTATTTTAAGAGAAGAAAAACCAGTTTTGTACCCGTTTGTTTTTAGAGAAAATTTAGTTTTTTATCTTTGGTTTTTCCTAGAAATCAATTATGGATGTGCCTTGTGATTTTCGTAATTGATTGATTTAAAAAATCATTTCATTTCATACATTATGCGTGATCGCATTAGTATCTTGCAAAGTTAAAAAGGTGATTGATGGTCTTGTATGTGTTGTGCCACTTCCACTTGAGACTGAAGGGAGATCTGGAGGGATCGAATGGCAAAAGCATGGAGACAGAACTGCCTACTAGTTGAGTGTCTAGTAAGTTACTAATTGTTGCGATAGTCGGACAAGAAGCTTGAGCCACTACAATTGATGCAATGGTCGGGCAGCAAGTGGTGGTCCTAGCTGGGCAGCATCCTTTTTCTCATCCTTTTCTGGGACCATCCCGCAATGCCTGGGAAGGTCGAGTAACACTAATTGTGGAGTTAGTTCTCAATTAGTCATGCGCGGAGGGAGAAACGGTGCAATTGGCCCAGACCAAATCTCATCTCCTATCCCAAAGGGCTTCACAGTCCGGGAGTTCCTTCTACCTGACCTGCTTATTGGGTATTTAGGGCTTATGTGATATTCTACCCAAAAATTTTGGTTGTTCTTAAAAATAATTTTCAAATAACATCACTTAAAAACAATTTTTTTAAAAATCTCAAAATTTCTTTGGCTGAATTTTTAAAAATAATTTTTTTTTAGTTTGAATTCAAACTTTCTTGAACAAAAATTGGAGGAGAGAAAAAATTGGGAAAGAGAAAAAAGAGAGAAAATAGTTGGCGAGGAGAGAGAAAGACATGGAGAGGACGAGGAGGATAGGGAGAGAGCAAAAAATTATGGTGAGAATGGGAGGAGTGAGAAGAAAGAGAGTGTGATGAGAGAGAGAGAGAGAAGACAAAGACTGAGGAGAGAGAAAACAATGTGTGATGTGGGGAGAGAAGAAAGAGAGGGTTAGGAAGGAGTAAAAGAAGATGTTGAGGAAGAGAGTAGAAAAACTCTAAAAACTCACTTTTTGTATTTTTAAGAAATAGTATATGTTTTTAAGTTAATTTAGAATCTAATTTTTAAAAAGAGTTAATTCAAAGCCTAAAACTCAAAAAATGTTTTTGAGTTAAAAAAGTTAAACTCAAATAGGATACTAAATAAGCCCTTAATTTGCAAAATCAGATTATGAGATTTGAAAGAAAAAATGAAGAGCAAATTGAAGAAAAATGATGGGGAAAACAAATGATGAAGGAAAGAAATGTAAATTTGAATCCTTGCAACTTCTGCGTTTGAATAGACAATTGCCCCTCTATTTTGTTGTGGGGGTATTTAAGTCTATTCGTAACAAATATGGTTGGAATTATAACCAAAATGATGCGCTTCAAGAACCGCAGGTTCGGAGCTTGATCCTCTTGGAGGCTGAAATCGCACCTTCTCGGGACAGCACACATGAGTTTATGAGGTAATTGACTGTGAAATCGTGGTTGGTTTCCGTCTGAGGTGAAATATCTGCAAAGTGGTAGATTTTGAAGACGAAATTGTCTGCAGATATTTCACGTCTGAAATCTCGAAGCCAACCACGATTTCACAGTCAATTACCTCATAAACTCACGTACGCTGTCCCGAGAAGTGTGATTTCAGCCTCCAAGAGGGTCAAGCTGCGGTCCCCAGAGAGAGCAGACTCCTTTTTGTACTTTCTCAGAAACCATGGATTCTCTGTAAGCCAGATCTCGAATCTTGTCGGGAGTCGCTCAGAACCAATATTGAGGTTTAAGAGAATCAGGTATGTCCCAATCATGCATTTCTCTGTTGATGCTTCAGAGTCCCGGCGTTTTTATGCTAAAGCCTAAAGATCTTGGTCAACTTGTGGATGCGATTAAGCAAATCGGTTTTAATATGCTGAAATTAATGTCGGTAGAGACACAATAAGAGCATTGTGTGGTAACAATAGGTCCATATGTAATCGAAATCGCCAAGTTTATAAGAGGTGGGGTTGGTCTGAGGATGATGTTCTCTCTGCTCTCAGGCGGCACCCACGCTGTATGACTGTTGGAAAAGAAGATAATGCTTGGCACTGGGGACTTTTTAGTGAAAAAATGGGATGGCTTGGCCGTCGGTAATGATTGGCAATGGCGTTCAGTTGTTAAAGTTTTGTTGCTGAAAGGGCTGATGCAGATTGAAAATGTGAGTTTGCTTTCTGTGTTGGTGCTGTCAGACAAGTTCTTCTTGGAAAGGTTCGTGGCCAGATTCATAGATGAAGCACCTCCGTTATTGAGTGTGTATCAAGGAAGGGTTGAAGTCCAGGATGATGATGTTCGTACGTAGTTTAAAAGGGTTAGATAACAATTGATGTGTATGCAGTCAGTGGTGGCATCTAGCTTTTTGCTCAGTATTTTAAGAGGTTGGATATTTATAACAATTTATATTTCTCCATAAATGAATTCAGTTGTTGGTTCAATATTCTAAAAATGTTTGTTTTTCTAAGAGCGTGTATTAGCTTCAGATAACCACATGCTTTTGTAGATAGAAAATATGGACGTGCGCATCTTTATTAATTTGCATAGGATGATTGGCATCAGCAGATCGGTCTTACACATATGTCGTTCCTATACCTTACTGCTAGGGACTGCAGTGAACCCGTTTACCAGTAACTTTTGCACTTAGCACGTAGGCATAGGCACGGCGTGGTATGCTATTATTGAATACCAGAGTTATGTATTTCCTTATTCACGATATAGCTAACTTCCGCCATGCAGACTTATGGCTTACCGGACAAGTTTCCGCTTTCAACGACATAGTGTTGAATTAGTCTATAGGTATGTATATTCATTGATTTTCAAGCTTGATGATCTAAACTGATTCTGATATTTCATATGAGCTGCATTCTGGAATCGCGCAAGTCTCAGATTGTTGTAAATCGTGATCTGGTAGGCTTCGGCACAAGGCACTGGCCAAGGACACGACAAGATGCAGTGCACTGCATTCTGCAGAAAGTGAGATATAGTAACGGTGTTCATTTTTGTGCTATTTTTCTGTCTTCCTTTTCCTTTTAGATGACCAGGTTTGAGCTGTTCACTTGTTGCACTTGCAATTTTGTATCATTTCTCGAAACCCGTGTTCATCGCGCTCTGCGACACCCGAAAAAACTGTAATTTCAGGGTAAAAAAAGAGAGCTATAAGTTGGCCATTTGCTATTGCTATAAGGGCTGCTCGCCTTTATATGGCTTGGGAAGGTATCAGTCATTCCTTCAGCTCTGTATAGATGAAGTAGATACAGAAGTTGTTTGTTGATACCTTTCTTATTACATCCAACTCCATCAATATGATCTGGTCTTGTTATGCTCGCTTCGATATATTGATTGTTGTAAGTGTTATTCTTTTGATGAAAAGCAAATTTCGGTGCCCGCGTAGAAGTGCTTCTCGGTGAGCTTTGGTAGAATGTTCGCGTATGCTGCTTCTCTTGTCCCTGTTCTGCTCTATCCGGGTGTAGTTGTTGGTTTTATGTGAGCAATATGTGATAATTTATATATGCTAATAAATAATAAATGCAATAGAAACTAACAGAATATAAACTAGAATATGAATTATAAAACAGACAACTTGAAGATCGAGGCTTGCGTACCGCAATGTCCTTGAAACAGATTTCGTCCCTACTCTGTGCTTGTAGTTCTACGGACGTCTGTTCCACCAGAATTCAACGATCTAAGTCAGAAATTCCAGCACCGGAAAATAGACTTCTGGCGAATATTAATGTGGTTCTCTCAGTAAGGATGTTTAAGATTGCAGGAGGAGATTTATGATTTTTCTATATTGTAAATGCCATGCAGATGGATGTATATATAATGTGATTGTACCTGTTCGCAACAGGTATAAGGAAGGGATGCAACTGTTGGGAGACATCTGCTGAAATGGGTGTTTTTGTTTCTGCGTTTTCACACTTCAGACTTCATCTGAAAAGATGAGTCTGTTGGAAAAAATAAATAATTAATTAATTTAAATTCGAAATTAAAAATACTTAATTAATTCCGAAAATAATTAATTTATTTAATTATTAGAGCCCCAAGGCCCATCTTTTGACAATTAAATATATATTAATTATAATTAATTATATATTAATTACCAAATAATTAATACACCCCAAAGCCCAGCCCCAAGGGTGAGCCCAATTTTAGTCTCCAGACCTATTACTCCAATTACTTTCTTTAAAGGACAAAGCCTTACAAAGTGATAAACTCTTTTGAGAATGGCCAATGTGGGACAAGAAAATTTCTACTCAAACTTCCAACAGTAGTATCATTGTGTCATTGTGATTCCCTTGTGTTAGCTTTCTTTGTGAGACCATAAGGATCGAGGGTGCAATTTATGTAACGCTTGTGTTATTTTGAAAAAACAAAACTGAGTCTTTCATAAAATTTGTAATGCAGATTCATTAGAGCTTGATGCAGACTCTGAATGCATCCGATTGCTTCTGCACGTAGTGCTGTGACGAGAGGGATAGTGCAACCGTTACATGTTAGAATCTGTCCACGGATATATGGGAATGGATTAGGAGGTGGTTTCTTGGCTTTTCTTTTATTGAGAAGGAAAAGAAATAATCAACATGTGCCCGTACCAAAGACGGAGATAGAAATCTAGGATATTTTGGACGGATGAGAATCCTCTCCGGATCTTCTTTGTGAGGATCCTGGAGATACTCACATCTTATTCGTTCATCGTACATCATGTGGTCAGCTTTCGTTAGGTATTGTTTGTATTTAATTTTAAATAAAAAAATTCAAAATGATTATGGTTGCACGATGTATGGTAATGGATAAGATGTGAAAATCATTAGGATTCTCACAAAGAGAATTCAATTGAGATCCAAATCCATTTTGGACAGGCTACCTTCATTTGTGAGCTGCTAAAAAAGAATAAGCCCATCCCAATACTTAGACAATCATGTCGTTCACATAGACCCTCATTTTTCTTGTGAGATGTGATGAGTCGATATTATGTTATATATTTTATCCTATTCTTAGTCATAATTTATTGGTTATTTCGGTGAGATTTTGATACTTTGAATTATGTTTCTAATGTAAGACATTCAACTTCCTCTTGAGCATAAAGTAATTAAATGGACAAATTTTGGAGTGATTTCAATTGGAGGATGTTCGTGAGCCTTTCAAGATGATTGTATCAAAGTTTTAAATTTTTTTCTACTGAGCCGTTTGACCATGGCAATGAAATTAAGGCCTAACGCGTAGCTTTCCCAAATTAACGTTTTTGAACGTTTTGAATATTTTGGAGGTCAAAATGACATATTTTGAGGAAGATTCCTTCTGAGGATTTGTAGGGACATCTTCAAAAGATACCTTTTGGGTCCAAATCGGAGTTGATTTGGTTGGTCCAAAGTCTAATTTTCTGAGAAGTCCAAATTTCAGTTTAAATATGAAACCTTTATTTGCTAGTTTATTATTTTATTATGTTTTCTAGTTTTATTCTAAGGCCTTTTAGGTTTTATTTTGTAGTAGTATAAATAAAATATTTAGCCATTAGGGTTTTAAAAAGAGAGAGACGCATCAATTTGGAGAACTTTTGTATTTTTCTTTAAAGGTGTATTCTATCATTTTTCTATTTCAATAAAATTCCTTTTGCTTTATGGTTGTGCGTGACTAAATCTTTGTTTGCTAGGGCAAGGCCATGAGCCTTAACAGGAATATGTAGTCTTTATTCAACTGCTTATGATATTATGCATGTATACTTTGAATTATTTAATCACTATGTTTAAACTGTCTCTATGTTTTAATGCTTAGCTACCATTAGGATGTTTAGATAAATAATTGGATGCAATTTGATCAGAATATCACCGGAGGATTGAGTATTGCTTCTTGTGGTTAATAATTGTAATTTCACCTAAGGCGTATATCACGCTCTTAGGGGTTGCATGGTTTTCAAAGGGTTTTCACAAAAGTTAATGAGTCTTGCATGTTCATATTTGATATGAATATCACAGACGGGTTGTTGTTCGATATACGTTCTTGCTTGAATATCACGAGGAGAATATGCATTAGGAAAACCTAACCTTCAAAGTTGCATATGTAATTCATAAGTAATTGGTAAAACTACAAAGAATTGTTAAGGTGACGGCGGAACCCTAGGCTTTTACAATTTGGTTTTCAAAAAAAATTCTTTTCCTTTTCTTTGATATTGCATATTTTCTAATCTTTTTAATTAATTTGGTTTTTAATATTTTAGGTTATAAAATCAACCTTTTTCATAACCTTGCTTGAGCTACTATACTACGATTACCTTATTCTCTTGCAAGCATTTTTAAATATTTTTATCTCTACTTTTATAGGTAAAAATCCTATCAAGTTGTAACCAACCACATCGAACAGTGGCCACACTTATTTATATACTATAAAGATCAATCATTATCATAATTTTGTTGGTCAACAGTTGATCATTTAGGTCCATTTGGTAATGTCTTGCAAAACAATTTTTGGAAAATCTGTTTTGTAAAATGAAAACCATAAATAGGAATTTTGATTTTTATGATTTGAGAATGCTTTAGACAGTTAATTTGGTAATGAAAAATAGTGAAAATGTGTCTAGTACCAATATCTAAAAGTCAATATATATAAATTTGTGTGTGATAGTAATGGTGGTCATGTTGTTGGTAACAATGGTGGTTGGAGTGGTGGTAGTGGTGAAGGTAATGGGGTAGAGATGGTGAAGATGGTGGAGTGGTGTTGGGAATTGTGAAGGTAATGGATTGAAGAATGTATTGATGGTGGTGGTGGTGGCGGTGGTAGTGGCAGCTGTAGCAGTGAAACAATATAAGTGGTGATGGTCGTGGTGGTTGGTGATGGCGATGTAAAATATGGTAATGGTGGCAGTAGACGGTCATGGCAAGATGATGGTTGTGTTGTTGATTATGGTGATGGTGAGATGGTGGAGGTTGTTGTGGCATGGTGATGGCAATGGATGTAACGACCTGTCCCAAAAAATTACATTTTTTATAATTTTAAAATGTGAAATTATGAAAATGCCCTTCGAGGTAAATGTGTTGACTTTTGTTTACCATCTTGTCGTGTCATATAAGATCCATTTTCTTGGCGTGTACTCATCGCTATGAACACATGAGCGCAAACGGAACGTAATTTGAAGTTATAACGAAGAAGTTATTAATGAACGAAGTAGAAGACAAAATGGTCATTTGACTATCATCTAGAAGGTTCTAGATTGCTGGAGCATTACTCTGATGAGCCACGTGTGTGGCTGTGATGAAAAAGAAAGAAGGGAAAAGAGAGAGATAGACGGACAAAAGAAAAAAAGAAAGGAGAGTGGGCGGCTAATTAGAAGAAGAAAAGGGAGAGAAAAGCTGGGAGGAATGCCTAATCAGGGAGAGAGAGAGAAAGTAGTGAACCAATGAGAAAAGAAAGAAGGGAGGGAAGGGAGAGAGAAGAGAAACACCAGATCTTCTTGACCCGACACCTGACCCTATTCTTGCAATTGATTTCCAACGCCTTTCACGATGTTTCTTTGGCGAATCACAAGGAACCACCACCACCAAATAACTAGGCGTCATCCTAGCTTCCATCCCACCCAAGTTTGATGGTTTTTGGTTACGATTTCACGACGAACACCCACATCGGCTCCGAGGGCACCCACGGCAGCGATCTGCCGTATCTGCGACTTATGTCGTTGATCACTACCATCAATCAACTTCTCTCAACCCCAAGAACTAAACCCAAACTGAGATCGAGGCGTTAGAAGTTATTTTTCCATCGAATCGACAATCACCCATTTCTAAGGTTTTCAGCGGTTCGTGGTAATTTCAAGCCACTTCCCAGCTGAGTTAGATTTCAACCCAGGTATGAAAGTTGTTCCTCTAATTATGATCTTCATTCCTGTAAAATTTGGAAATTTTTTGAGGTTGTTGAATTTTCTGGTGAGTCAAGGCGGCCGACTGCCACACACAGCGGCGCGTGCAACGACACGTGGGGGAAACCCGAGGTCCTTTCTTAGGTTTTTCGACATGCCGAATCCGAATCTGTCATCCGTTTTCCCAAATTCTGACGTTTTAGTAGAGTTTTACTAAATAGTCTCTATGCGTGTTTAGGTGCATTGGTGGAAGTGATCTCATCCTCGTGAGTTCGAGCAGCTCTCGGGCGATAAAATAACTATGAGTGGACCCTTTCTTAACTTATATGTTTTCTATAAAATATTAGCCTAGCATGCATTTTATATTTCATGATTGAATATGTTTTACCTTATGCTTTATGGATTTATATATTTATGTGGTTTTTGAAATATTTATGATTTATTTAAATAACTTTTACGAAATAATTATGATTTATCAGATTTACATATTACTAAAGGTCGGGAATTTCTATGGATTCGCGCATATGTTTTATTGTGGATTCATGAATGTGATTTATCATGTATTTATGAGATGTGGTTTTGAGTTTGTGAGCTCCGGAATGATACGAGTTTTAAGGTATGCTTTCGGTATTTATCTAGTGGGTTATCATACAACATATCCACACAACACAGGTATGTAGATGTCTATGGTCATAGGACACAGTTGAGGATATTTGTGATGTTATATATTTCTTCTCCGGTGTAACCTGGAGTCGTACGGCTTCACCTTCTGGTGATGGGGCCTACCATGTTTCTTGACTGTCATAACCCAGTGTCGTACAACTTCACCTTCGGGTGATGGACAGGTACTTATGTGATACCCCTAACTTCACTAGCCGGGGCTAGTGTCGGTGTGTGATGTTATATATTTCTTCTCCGGCGTAACTCGGAGTCGTATAGCTTCACCTTTAGGTGATGGGGCCTACCATATTTCTTCACTGGCATAACCTAGTGTCGTACAGTTTCATTTTCGAGTGATGGACATGTACTACCTTCGGGCGACTATAATTTCTGAGCACTGGTTTTATATACATGTCTTACGAATGTTCTATATGGCATGCTAGGGTTTGTCATAAAACCTATATGTAGTATTATATATGTGTTTTCAAAACAGGGGGTTATTATGTTCAGAAATAAAATGTCTTCCTATTATTAGTATTATTATTACAAACTTTGGTCCACTCACCTTTCTGTTTTTGCGCCCCCTCAGGAGTTAGGATCGAGGCACATGATACCGCGTCCGGGCATTCTCACTTAGGCATCTTCAAGTCTTCTCAGTGTATGAGTCATTCATTTATTTGTACCTTATATTATAATTCTTTCACATTATTCTTAAGTTGTTGTATGCTCTGAACACGATTCTGCTTTGGTTTAATTTGTTCTAATTACATATTTTATCTGTATGCATGTTTAAAATGGCTTCGTCACCCTCGAATGTCGGCCAACACGTGCCCATCCTGATATTTAGGGAATATCGGGATTGGGCGTGTCAGTGGAGGATATGGTGATGTAAGTGAGCAAAATGACACGCCCTGATCTCAATGTTCAAATGACAGCGAGATGGCCACATGCTGGCCGACACCCGAAGGTGACGAAGCCATACTATTATGCAAGAGAACCAATGAAAATAAATAAGACTAATAAATTTAAACATAATGTTATGCAATTGAGGAACGTGTTTAGAGCATACAACTAAACTGAGACGCTAGAAAGGAATAATATAAAATTGAATGCATAAAAGAATGGGTCCTACACCAAGAAGACTCGAAGATGCCAATGCGAGAGTGCCTTGATGCCAGGATTGTACGCCTCGATTCTAAGTCCTGATGGGGCGCAAAACAAACATGAGTGGACTAAGTTGGTATATAAGTAGTACAAACATAGTTATTCCATAACATACTAACCCCAAAAGTTATGAAAACTAATACTATAATATGTGATAGGTTTTCTGAAAAACCCTAGCTTGCCATAAAACCTTTCATAAAACATATATCATATATAATGTGCTAAATAGTGGTATCATAATTGAATGAAGCAACTACATCACCCGACCCGTAGGCCAAATATATGAATATCTTCCGACCCGTAGGCCACTACATCACCCGACCCATAGGCCAAATATAATATCTTCCGACCCGTAGGCCCCTACATCACCCGACCCGTAGGCCAAATATAATATCTTCCAACATAAATACATATATCTCAAAACATCTTCATAGTATATAGTCATCCATCATATATACTTCAAAGAGAGTAAAAACATGTTCATAAATAGTATATAGTTATCCATCATATATACTACAAAGAACATAAATTCGATAAAGTATGGTAAATATTCTCAATAAAGCATGATAATCATAAAGTGTAAATCTAATTTACTCATAAAATGTAACCATTAAATCATGCTTTTCATGTATGCATTTATACTATTAAAACATGCATTTTAGAAGGGGTCCACTCACAGATACTCCATCGTCGAAGAGTTGTGTGAAATAGGAAGAACGGAATCACCTCTAATAAACGCATCTAAGCACATAAAGGGTCCAATTAATAAAACTTTACTATAACGATTGAATTTCAGAAAACGGACGTTATGAATGGATCTAGGACGTTGAAATTAGACTAGGAGAGGTCCCGACCTAAACCCGAAAAAAGTTAACAAAAAGTCAACGTCCGGTTAACAGTCAAAGTCAACAGTCAGCGTTGATCGAAAATTAATGATCAACGGGTCGGGTCAATGGGTCTGGGTCAAATGGTCAGACCGGTTCAACTAGGTTGGGTCAAGGTTTTAAAGGGTTTGGATTTTAGGGTTATCGGGCCGAATGCCTAAGTTGGACGGCCCAAAGGCCTAGGTCCAAAGGGTTTGGGGTTTGGGTTAACTGGGGTTTAGGCTTGGGCTTCGAAAAGGGTTTGGGCTGGTTTGGAGTTTAGGCTGGTTACTTGGCCCAAGGGTTTGGGCCAGTTCATTAGGTAGGCCCAGCAACTGGGTTGGGCTCTTAATTAGGATGTGGGTCGTAACGGCCCAATTGTTTCGCGGGCCGCCAGAACCACGAAGGAGAAGACCGGAGAAGTCGTCGGGAATTCTCGAGCTCTAATGAAACTCGAAACATAACCCTTTTTAGCGTATAAACTATCAAAATGAAGCTAAGGAGAAGAAGGATGAAGATTTACATACACAAGGGCAAACCGTGGTCGGAAAGCAGCCGAAAAATCTCTGCAACTCGCGGCTTAGTCATTGAGAAACTAGGAAAATGCTTCCCCGAGCTATCTCTGCGTTCAAACCTTCCAAGTTCTAAAAAACAACCTAATATATCCTATCACAACAACTATAAAGGTCTAAGGTGCTTACCTTGGTCGGGAAAATAGAGAACTCGCCGGAAGTTCATCGGGGATAACCCAAAATAGTGAACTCCGCCACTGTCGGAGCTCCACATTCTAGGCTAGGGGTCGAGACGGTGAGGTTTAGATTTTGGTGGTGTTGCCATCACCATTGTGTGTGGGTGTGTCACAGAAAGGAGAATGAGAGCTTGCAGAGAGGGAGAGAGTCCCGAGAGTGAGACACGAGATAGGTGAGGGAGAGAGAGCAATTAGGTTAGGGGGACACAAACCAAAGGTGGTCCCCTCTTAGGCACACCTATTAAGACCCAAAAACAATATTTTAAAAAAATATCCCATAACCAAAATGAAATTACAACATTGCATTCTCGTTTCGTAAATTTTCGAGACGGGTTGTTACAGTGATGGTGGTGTCAAAGATGGTTGTGGTGGTGCTGATGATTGTGGGATGGTGGAGAAGGTTGTCTGGTGGCGGTGATAGCGATAGTGGTGGCATACATAATTTTATTTATTTATTAAACTCTAACTTTGTTTTATAATGTATATTTTATGTTCTATTATTTTGAAAATTATTCTTCAAAGATAGAGGAAACACCAATTTAATGTTATACATAACTTAGGCTAAATATTGTTTTGAGTTAATTTTTACAAAACAGCATGTCAAACATTTTTTACACGTTTTTGTATCTACAAAAAGAAAAATTGTGTTTAA